CAAAGTAACTCATATTTGCATCAATAGTTGTCAAACAAATAAATACCCTACCAATAAGGAAAAAAATAGTTGGATTCCCCTATAAATAGATGTAAACTCATATTAATAGATGTACATTTATAAAACTCAGCAATTTTCAAAATAAGTTATTCTAAAATTGCACTCTTTTAATAAAATCAAAGACTAGGGACCTTTATTTAATTCTCCAATTGAATTTGAAGTTTTTTTTGTGTTTTTTGTAAACATTCCAAATTGTTTTTTCATAAAACAACAGTTGGAAGATATATATCTGAAAAAAGGATTAAACCGTCAGTCGAGTCAGAGCAGTCAACAGAATCCGCGTTCGAACCAGTTCATACTGTGTTGTTCCATATACGCGTTCGAGTTCTTCACTCATTGGTTCTCAGAGGACTACCATGTAGGAGGAACCTGACCATAACATATATATATATATATATATATATATATATAAATATATATATATATATATCACAATAAGAAAAAAACAGTAAGATATATAATCCGTTGTTCTTATTATTTTATTTTATAAAACTGCCAATCACACACACACACACACACACACACATATATATATATATATATATATATATAACATTTATTAAAAATTTATAGATAATGTTGGTAAACTACTTTTCTGTTTCTTATTTTTCTCAAAGTTATATTTAGATGATACAACATGTTTGTGTAGATATTTGATATCTATCACTATATTTCTATATCTGCGCAATTAGTAAATATTAAATACCTCAAATGTCTCAGTGTATGGCACAGTTATCAGAAATTTAACAGAGGTAAAAAAAAAAGTAAAACTGTAATAGGCTGCCCTAAACTTGTTCCAAAAAAATCACTACCAGATGCTACAAAGGTGTGTGTGTTGTGTATAAACTATAGAAGGTTATTCAATAAATAATCTCACGAGAGTTGGTAATTCATGATCATCTTGTAACAATCACAGTAGACATTTTCATCTGACAGCAGCATGGCTGATACACAAATTTAAAAGTGGAGAAACTTAATTCACATTCACGTTTTCAGAAGACCTGCATTTTAATGATGATACTGAATCAATTCTAAGCCTTATGTGAATGGGGACATGGATTTTATCATCCGTAGGTATTCTTCTCGTCAGAATCTATTATATATATTCCTAAATATAAATTTTCTTCGGTTCATTCAATGTTGCTACTATATCTGAGTGGCTGAAGATTGCTATTTTTTGAACCCCTCAAAACTATAAACATGAAAAGCAGATTTAGTAGTTACTGAAACTCTGTTATATTGAAACCGACTATCAAAACCTATCAATTGTGAATGATATATATATAATTTATTTCAAAAGATACAACTGTTCAAATCCTTCAATCTAACAATTCAACAATTTTAACATTTACGATTTGGACAAATTTGCTGTTACTACACATATATTATCTGTTTATCTTCTGTGTTTACAATACTGATTTTGTATAATTACCAATTATTTTGAAACTGTTGTTCAAAAAAAAAAATGAGAGAAACATTTTTGAGGAAAAAGATCAGGTGCGACAACAGCAACATGGATCGTCATTTCTAGATTTTGAGTAAACCATTCCTATCGTTCAATTAGAAATGCAACGATTTTTCAAAACCTTCTTTTTTGGAAAGATATCTTTGTATTTTCTGTAAACTCTTCATGTTAACCTTAATTGGACATTTTTGCTCTTATTGCATTGGTCAGGTATAGCACATTTATTTTCAGTTTCCTGCATCTTACGTTTACAAAATAGTTATATATTCACCTCAGCAGTTATAAGTTCAAAAGAATTCATATAACAGTAAACTCAATTAAATATGTTTTAATTTTTTAATTATAAATAAAACCGGATACTTTTTATATAATTTATTGGAATTATATTTTAAGATATGTCAAGAATTTTGACAAGTTTGCTTTCAAGCATGTTATAAACTAAACTAGATTTTGAACATTTACCAATTCATTAGTAATTTGATTTAGGATCACTCATTTTCGTCATGTTTTCTCCTGCTGAAACAAACTTGAGAACCATTACACCATCTCAATAGTTATACTTTTTAATGTATAGAAAATATGTGTCTCAAGGCCGAAAATGTGACGCAATTAACATTGAAAAGTGAATATAGTGTAAACAAGAAAAGTCTTTGGACCCCTCTTTCGTAAATTAAACATATCAGTGGCTTTGCAAAATGTTTTGGAACTTTTTAATGGATGAATAAGACAGAACAAACGTTTTTTCTTCTTACTAGAATTATATTCCTTCTCTGAATTTTTGAGATCATTATTTTGACATTCGACGGAGGTAACCGTATTCAGCTACTTAATCATTTGCTTTATATATGCTTAAATACAGTTTTTTATCAACATTTTCTTTCATGGAATTACCAAATATAGTACAGTTCATTACTGTCTGAACTGAAATAATAATATTTATGAAGAATTTTTTACAGGAAATATCAAAACAGAAATATTGTTGACAAAGGTCAAAAGTTACATACCAAAAATGGTGCGTGTCTTTTCTTATCAGATAACTTATTGAATATTTGAACCTGGATCAAGTAAGAAAACGAACTTCTTTACTCACTGTTAATAACTAATGAACTAAAGAATCACTGAAATTTTCGTACAAATCTGCGCATGAGAACGCAATACGCCGTATTTGTTAATACTACGGCATACATAAAGGCAACCTTATTTGAACAGAAATAAAAATTAGTGAAATGATGGGCCGTAAAAAGCAATTTTTGAAATGCTGAAAAACAAAACTATTACAAATCCTCAAAACTCGTAAGCAAATGACTCTTAAACAAAGAACTTTTTTAAAATGATAAGGAACCTGCATCTATGTCATGTTTTTTTCAAAATTCACATCAGCTGACCCTTCACAACACCAAAAGGGCATATAAAATGGCGAATGACAAGGGTTAGACTTCTGTTCCTGTACATTAGACTCTAATAAACGAACCCTTTCCCTGGACTTACCAATGCAGAAAAAAGTCGTAATAATCCTACTGTGTCGGTATCTTTGAAAAGCAAAATTCAAACCTGCATGGACCGATGACAATATGAATATATATATTCTCCTGAAAAATTTATTTTTGGTTGAGCTCTCTGGGGGAGATAGATGGTGCAAAAGGTTTAATGAAGCAGTGAGAATCGCCATCAATATGTTGAAGACTTCACCAAATCGGTGGAGTTCTCTCCAGTCACTGTGTGCATTAGTCCAAAAATAAATATGGCGTCGAATTCACCTTCATACCTAGCGATTTATGAAGAACATCTTAAACCGTGGGTGAATCCCTGATTTGCCTTCAATTCAATTGTTTTTATCCTAGATAGAAACCCTCCGTCTAATCACAAGACTAACCGAATATTTGAAAACAGTTAGCCTATGGACCTCAAAATGAAGTATATATAAATTCTCGGTTGAATATATATCGAAAACCTTTGGAACAATAAGAAATAATGTACGCCATCCTGACAATTCATACAATGCTGGTATACACACAATTCTTGAAAAAAATCGCGGCATCACACCAATAAAAAAGCACATAAATTAATTTTGGATTAACTTTTTCAAATAATTTCAAAACAGAAAATGACAGACATTTTGCTGATAATTTGTTGACAAGTGTGCCTTTGTTTGTATCTGTATTATTTCTATGAAACTCATTTATTAGCATCTTTAGATCATAAACAATCACGTTAACATTAATAAACATTCACGTTCAACATTAATAAACATTTTGTTTGCTCAATTCTGGGGATTTTACTAAACCTTTCTAATAATTTGGCACACTCAAATCACCGTGCTGATAACAAATTTCATAAAGTTTGTTTACATTGCAACCATAATCAAACGAAAATTTCAGTGATTACACTTAATCAATAAGTGTTAATAAATTCATGTGTGAATTGATTGGACGGTTATTGAAATGTTAGAAACAAAAGTTATCTCGATAATAATTTTGGACGCACAAATATATAAAATAATATAAATTTTGATGCTATATTCGATTTGTTGTTAGGTATTTTTCTTTTCTCCTTTGTTATTGACAGCATTTTAGAATATTTTCGCTGCATTGAGAAGTTTCCTAAGTTGAACAAACTGGAGTTATTTCGTTTACGCTTTCTTACCTCTCTTTTCCATAATTGTTTTAGATCCTTTCTTCCAATCATTTTAATGAGCTATAGCGAAATTCTGAAATTTAGAATGATCATATTGCATTTTAAAAATTAAGCCTGTAAAGGAATATTTTAAATTAATATACGACCAAAAATAAAATGCTTTTGACAAAAAACTTGATGATTTCACTATAATTATGTAACAATGTAATGATATTCTGCAACCAAAATTTATGGTTTTATGTGACCTCTCTCATTGCATGGTTACGAACTATAAACCTAAACTGAGCTTGAAATATTGTGTAATCAGTTCTATTTTTTGTAAAAGACTTGGATATAATATAATGAATAAATTGCAGAGAAAAAAACAATTTTCGATTTTTGTTGAATACTTCTCCTCCGCCGAAGGCGTCATTTTACTCTAATAACATTCGGACAATTTTTACCTTTTTTTGCTGTTATCACAACTTATCTGCTGCTGTGCCCTCCGCCCTTTTCAGGCCTATATCCATCTGGCTAAACTACGGGAAATTCTGAACAGAACGTTTTTAATATGGGGTAAACTGTTTCTCGTTCCCTTCCCCATGTCTAGCGAGATCTCGTACTTTTTTTCAATACTGCTCTGTTATTGCCCGTGCTGTTTTCCATGTGACCAAAAGTACCCACTGCCTGTCCCCAAGTATTAAACTTACAATTAATATATCACCAAACTCGAAAAACATGTCAGCAAAAGATTGGTATTATTTAGAAAAATATTTATAATCATTATTTTCCTCATCTGTTAAATATCAACACCGCCAATTTAAAAAAAGTTTGGCCGGCCTTCGTTCGCTGGACGCCCGTAATGCATATGGAAAGGTTAGTGCGTAAGTCCGTCGAAGTTGTTGGCCAGCCTTCGTTCGCCGTCGGCGGGCGCCCGTAATGCGCGAAAGGTAAATGCATAAGTTCATCGAAGGCCTTCATTCGCCGTCGCCAGACGCCGTAATGCGCCTTGAAGGTAAACGCATAAGTTTGACGAAGGCCTTCGTTCGCCGTCGCCAGACGCCCGTAATGCGCCTTGGAAGTAAATTTACTACTGTGCGTAAACAGTCTCCATTTAACGAGCTTCTTGGATATTTCGACGGGTGTAATTGTTGTAAGGTTTTTTTTTTTGAATGAATTACGACTGAATAGTAAGTTCGATCTTCAAGGAGTGCTTCATACTTTCGGCCTTGTGTCATCTACTCTACACTTATAAAATCGCCATTTAATAATCGGGTCTTTATGGGTTTGAACTTTTATGGCCCATCACCCATTATTTATGTGAATTGTCTTGATAATGTTTTTAGATTTTTTTATTGTTTGATCAGAAATCACCCCAAGCAAGGCAATAAAAGCCACTAAGACACAAGGGCTTACTGGCTGTGGAAGTACTAGAAAAACAGTAACATTGCTAAAGGGCGAGAACAACGGAAAGGCAATCGAAAGACAGTAGATAAGTTGACATTTGCATTTTAATTTTTTGAAGATTAAGAGTTGGCTGGAAAGCAAGGAACCAGAGAGAGGTTCCACACGCAAGAATTGAGAAAAAAGAAACTCTTAACATAGAACTTGCAGTTACATCCTAGTCACCTCGACTGTAAATTGATTGAACTTCGACGCCAGTCTATTACTTAAATTTATAAAGTCAAAGTAACATTGAAGCTAAAATTATTAATGGCATTATAGATCTTAAAGATAGTTAAAAAAAAAAAAAGATCCTGTTAAAATTTCACTTTTGAATTAAATATTAATAAAGAAATCCTTCCTCTTAGATGTGCCGCAAGATATTAAATTTAAATTAAAACAATCATAGACTTTTAATTCTTGTCTCCCAGACGACAGGTTGCTCCTAAAGTCTGTACACATAGGAAATCTCATTAACTATATATTTTTTCTCCACAGATTAAACATGTTTTTTTTTGAAAAGAAGAAAAATTGACTTCTTTTTCTGGGTATGCTAAAGCTGTACTCAATGAAAATCTGAATGCAATATATTTGAACTCATAAAGAGTGAATGTGCTAAGATTGGCGATAATGTGGAGTTATTGCGCCAAGTTCACTTGAATTTTGCAAAAACCACCAAATTTTGCATAAAAAATAATGGATATGATATTGAAGATGTTATATGTTAATTTTGTAGCCTGAATAGAATAATCACAAAGGGTTGGTAATGAACGATACTACTTAAGACAAGAACAGCACATATAAGATTCGCCAGCGGCGTGGGAGTTGTCAACTGCTAGAAGTGAGTCAGTGAATTCCACAGTGAGTCTCCAACTGCAAATATATATAACCGCCCCACACGGTCAGATGTAGCTTTTGGCCGAATTTCAAATGTAGTATCCGAGCCCGTAGGCTCAGTAGCTATTCCTGACACGAGACTCTGCCTCTCGATTATAACGACGTCTTGGGATCCTCTCTGCTCCAGAAAGTGGGAAGTTTTACCACCACAGCTGGAGACAATTTCCCCCTGCAGGATATCCATAAAAACCACCTAATATGTGATCTGATGTGGCACAACGCAGGTTAATGTGGGGTATCCAGGCCCACGTGAGCTGGGCCAAAAATTCCTCGAAGACCTCCATATAAAAGGAGGTCTGGTAGCTGTTCCAGACGAGACTCTTCCTTTCGACATAGCTTCATCTGGGATTCTCTCTGCTTAGAGGGCAGAGTGTTTGACTAACACAGTTGGGTCGAATCTCCAACTGCAGACCAACATACAGTATTTACTACTGTATTTTGTGCGAATAAGGACATATCCATTATCTTCCAAAAGGTATGCTACAACATCAATATTCCAATTCAATAAAATTTTGTTGAAAATTCGTTCTTAATATGCATTTTTTACTTATGTGTCCAGATTGAAGGACACTCTGTATAAGTGTGAATGTACGAAAGGTATTCATTTACTGTCACTGTTGAAAAAGAAAAGTATTGTTCTAAATTCTTACCTCAGTTTACTTATATACTCAGTCTTTGTGTGGGTGTAGTTCAAATATCACTTTTGCATGTTTGACTTCGCCAAATATTCATGTGTGTCAGAAACTCAGACAGGGAATTATATTGATTTTGGTAACTTCATACATCTGAGACAACCAGTTTTATGTATAATCGTTCGTATTTTGGAAATAATAGCTGTTTTATTTAACAGCATATCTACTCTTTATGGATCATTTAATGCTGAAATTAATTTTTTCTTGAAATTTTGAATTAATCAAAATATATGATGTGTTATTCTGTTTTCATAATAGAATACATGGTAGATGCTACTCAGTTTTGTTTTGTGAAGACATAGTTACTAGAGGCGATGATATGTGTGTTATGATTTTTTTTTTTTTTTATTATATATTCAAATACATTTTGGTTTATGTTATGGGATCTTACCCATAATAATAATAATAATAATAATAATAATAATAATAATAATAATAATGGACTATTCCATACTCAATAAACACTGCGCCTCAGGGGTAGGCAAGGAGTGAGTAGTTCAAGTCGAGTCAAGAGTGGAGTCAGAGGCAGTCGAAACAGGTCGCGTTCAAACAATGCCAGTTCACATACCTCCTCGATCTTTAGTAGATGTTTTTTACATCTTGATTCTGATTTAGGATTGGTTTTCCAGTTCCCTTCTAAATTCTACTTCCATTCTATACTTGTGTTTCGGCATAAACACTGAAATTTATTCTATTATTGGATTTCGTGTTCTTTTATTCACCCACTAGGCTCTTTTGCGTCGTAGTGTAGTTATCGCATTGTTTGAGGTGAATTGATTAAAAAATTACACACACACACACACACACACACACACACACACACACACACACACACACATATATATATATATATATATATATATATATATATATATATAAAAGGTGTAACAGCAAAATTGTCCCAAATCGTGTAACAGTAAAATTGTCCAATTGTTATATTAGTCTCTGAACCGTGCTATCTTAATTGTATATTACTGAAATTCTCAGCGATATTTATAAAACTATTGGCCCTATTTTCAGCAACGAGAATGTATAATTACTCTCCAAAAAGAGAGGAATAGCGATGAACTCGATCATAAACAACATGTTCATTAGTAATTAATCATAGCTAAGTATCGGAAGCTCATGAAGTATTGAATGTTCAAATACATATATATATGGGTGTTTTTCAACTTATTCAAGATGATCTTCGTCCTCTCATCCTCCTAACTTTCTGTCCTGGAGTAACAAGGTGCCTCACTAGTTTCACGTATGATTTTATTCTCAAGTCTTTTTCTTTTGCTTTTTGGACTGTCAAAGCTCCTCTCTCACGTGGCAAACTTCTGATGGATTGAGTTGGATTTTCTCTAATTGATCACTTTAACTGAAATGATGACTCCTTTTCTTGTTGTGACCTCATGATCCAGTTTTTCTTCCCTACTGTTCCTCTTTTTTTCAAACTTATTCACCGTACAATTGATCGTTCTTGAACGGACCTTGAAGATGAAGCGAGTGTATCAATGTTGTTATCATTACTGAAAGCCTGAATGTTTTTTTTTTTTTAATATCAACATTGCTTATTTGGAAGGCAGTGTGCCTGACACAAAAGAATGTTTCTCCAGTTATTCTTAGGACAAACGGTGTCAAGATGGCTAAACGTCTTATCTGAAGATCTCGGAAAAAGAAACTCCAGTTAGTTAATTTCTTTTTTTATAGATATTTTTGTGGGATGGATAATTATGCTGTTAAACGTTTTGGACAAATTTTGCTGCTTACCCGGTATATATATATATATATATATATATATATATATATATATATATATATATATATAAGAGATTGACAGATGAGAGAGAAATTTACGAACCAAAGCCGATAAAGAATACAGTACCTCCGGTAGAGAAAAGCACATGCGCAAAAAGAAATAGATTGTGCGAAATTGTAGCCATTGTGCCTCTAATCCAGTGCACGTTGCGACATAAGTATTCTTTGTTTACTGTCTACCCTCTAAAATGCTGGCATAAATCTATATTAACCTTTTCCGGCGGTCAGCTTTCAGGTAATGACCCACTCGATTAACGCAATTTTGTCTCTTTATGCGTTCCCCTACTAACTCTCCTGCGGTCACACAGAATGCTTCCCTTTCTCGTTCTTGCCACCTGACGCACGTTACCTTCTCTTCGCTTCTGCCCAATTCCTCCAGTAATAATCACCTTTAAACAATTTCCATTAACAATATCGATCTGTGGTGAGTTGGATCGATAACGTAAATGTGAATAGGATCATCATCGATAATTATTAGTTGAGAAAACACTTTTTCGTATTCTCCTTTCAGTTGTAACTTACAATATCGTCTCCGTTTTCTCTCCCTTTTGATGTTCGTTTCTCATTCTCTTTGTTTAACGAAGTTTCCATTTATTCTTTCTTTTTTCTTTCTGTTTGTCTGTTTCTTATCTGTATCTGTTATTTCAATGTCTTTCTTTTCGATACTTATATTTTCTTTTCGATCTATATTTTCTTTCTATCTTCCTTCTTTCCTTGTCTTTATTCTTTCTTCATCTTTATTTAATGAATTTATCGGTTATTCTCTTTCTTTCTTTCTTTCTTTCTTTCTTTCTTAACTTTCTTTCTGTTTTCTTTCTTTTCATCTTTTCTTCCTCGTCTTCTTATTTTATTTTCACGGTCTTCTTCATTATCTTTTCTTTCTTTTTTAATTCTTTATTTTTCTTTCCTTCTTTACCTTTCATCACACTTTCTTACGTTCAGTTCTTCTTTGATTTTATCCATTGCTCATTTTCTTTCTTTCTTTCTTTTTTCTTCCTTTCTTTCTTTATTTCTTTCTTTCTTTACATTTCATCACTCTTTCTTAAGTTCGGTTCTTTGATTCCATCCATTACTCATTTTCTTTCTTCCTCGTCTTCCTCATTATATTCTTTCTTTCTTTCTTTCTTTCTTTCTTTCTTTCTTTTGTTAGATTCTTCATAGATTCCTTCTTCCATTTCTTAACTGTGTTTCTTACTATTTTCTTCCACTGGCTTTGCATATTATTCCCTTTCCTTTCTTTGAATCTTCTTTATTCTCTTTTCCTCCTTCATTCGCTTAATATTCTTTTTTTTTTCTTGGATCTTTATGTCGTGTTCTCTGTTAGCTTTTCCCTTTTTTTTTTTGTCTTTCATTCCTCATTATTCTCATTATATTTCCTCCTCTTCTTGTTTCCTCCTTTCTTATATCTTTCCTTTCTTTCCCAGATGTATCTCATTTCAATTTATACCAACAACTTCAACAGCCTGTTCTAACGGTTCTGGAATGGCCAGTTAACAAGTCTGTTTGATCAATAAAGTAGAATCTCTCATAACTAGGTGCTACATACTTAAGGCCTTGTGTCAAACTAAACAAAACATAGTAAATACAAACAACTCTAATAACCTATAAAATAAATTGGCTCACCAAAGTGCAGTCAAATTAGTGATTATCAATTAGTAATGAAGACAAAATACATTTAATACCATTTCTTTCCTAATCGAATTCTCCTTGATAAATATATAATTGGCAGGCTGTCTACCTTTAATATCAGCCTCGAAAATCAACTGAATATAAAGTTTTGGCACAATTTCCTATTTGTCATAAATATTGACGTTGCATGAACTCTTTAAAAGTTCAATGAAGATATTTTCACAATACCTCAAACTTCTCATTTAAAATATTGACAGTGTAATCTTTAAAGACAGTTCTTAATTGTTAAACCTCTTGTCCCCACTGTCTGTTAGTAAACTCATTTCGAAGGAAATGTGCGAAATTATCGCTTTAACTCAAAAAAAGTATGAAAACGTCTGCTTGCCGATGCCGTTTACAATGAAGCTAGTGCGCATGTCGCTATTATGAAAATGAGGCCAAATCTTTCTATCGTATATAATAGTAATAATTAAAAGAATATCCCAGATTAAGGGCTTAGAGGAATTTGGATACGTGCATCCAGGCTGGCATATAAACGCCTCTTTTTTGAGGCAGTTAAAAAAAGTGTCGCAAAAATAATAAGTAACGAAGGTAGCAGGGATTGAAGTGTTTGCTGTACAGTTTTGTCCTTGGAGAAATTTTATTTGCGATTGTAATCGCCATTGTTTTTGCGGAAATCTTCTTGTTGGAGTCTACTTCTTATGGTTATTACAAGAAACAGAAAACAAAAGATTTAACATAGAATTCTTAGTTGAGGGAAGCTGTAAATGGTGTTTTGCTTCTGAGAGATGAAAAGGTTGGACTAAGTTATTCCGCTGCGATAATAATTTTTGCATCAGGAAAGATATTCTAAAATAATTACCATAGTTTATGAAAGTTTTCTTTATATCTATATGTTGGCTGGTTGAGTTTGTTTAACGACATATCAACCAGAATGGGTTATTTAATGCCGAAATGCAAATATTATGTACATAATTTTATGCCTTCAACTCCACATATTTTGTACATAATTTTATAATTCCAGGCAAAAGGTATGTTCTTTTAGATATATAGTTTGTAAATCATAAGATCTATTGTTGGTAATTATACAAATGCATTTTATGTGTGTTTATGTGTTGCATTACTTGTCATTTTTCTATAAAAATCCATTATAAAAACGTATTGTTTTATTTGCCCATAGCTTGGATCCAAACAGTTGCTACCACTCAGGTAAGGGTGAACCTAGAAACAAAACAGTTAACAGGTAGTTTGATGCGCCTCAAAACCTCCAATCTCTCGATCGGCGGCCTTTCTGCTGAATATCTGTATGTAGTGAGGTAGGATGTAAAGAGACATTGGTGAAAAACCGTCTTTCACATGATCTGATATTGTACTATCGGTCAGACATAAACTGATGTTATACAAATATCAATCCGCAGTTTTAATGAGGTCTCTTCTAATCCCCGTTTCAATTTGACAAACTATTTAGGTAGGTTATGCGCTGGTTTCGACAGAGTCCTCTTTCTTCATTATGCACCCGATCTATTCAGATGTCTCTTTCTAATTCAAAATACAAGTGACCTTTTTCGTTTCATTTTCCTTGAAATCTTGTCGTTGCTCAAATGTTGAACCCTTCGCATTCTCAGCATTTTCTCTTGGGCATCATTTCTGTTTCTTCCAGTTTCACCCTGTAATTACATTGCCGAGCATTCACTCACCATAGAGGAGGACTGATATTTTCATTTCAATTTATTCAGTTAGCGCATTTTTCGCGACCACTGCGGTCCACATTCACCACCATCTCACAACTATGATTCATGGTGATATTCAAGGCAATGGCGTGCCGGTTTCTTTTTGCACTGGGTTTATTAAGGTTATCCCGTCCCTTCTCCTCTCAGACATTTTCAATTTCTACGGTCTATCAACACTATGCAGGTCATTTAAAGCCAGAAATTATTTTGAGATTTTTGTTAAATAATAATCATTTAGTGATACATTTCTTACTAATAAACTATTATAACTGGCTTAGTAGCGATTGTAATGCTTCGGCAACTTGCCCTGATGGCTTCTATTTTCCCTTACATCTGACCTGTTTATAGCTATGGACTAGTTCATATAGTCACCAGAGGTGTATTATTTATTCTACAACATACACCCATTTGAGATTAGTACTGTTTATAAATATTTTATTTTTATCAGTATTAATATATACCCTTCCTCTTTCTGGAGAGTTCGCCAACGGACATGACTTTGTAGTGTTGCCGACTCGGATCCACTTTCACTTCTTCAGTACGCTTTCTTTCTCGGCAAATTCTCCTTGTAGGTTCCACGAATTGTTTGGTTGCTGGTACATCGAAAACATGATATAAAATATGTATTGGTTCTATTTTCCTCAGCAACAATCTCGTTTTTTCTCTTATCTCCCCAGCCGTTGTATTCTTGACTTAATATTTGTTCATATCTACGGAAATACGCAGAAAAAGTCACTCTCTCATCACGATTGTATGCAAATTTTGATATGTCTGACGTAAGAAACGTTGACGAAGTTTTTTTCTTCAGAATTATATCCAACAACTCTTGTTGTTGTTTTTGTATTTCTAGCAACTGTTGCTATTTATCGGTTCTTCCAATGTTTCAGATCTTTCATCGATGAATGATTTTTCAGTTGATTATTGTGCCTTTTGTGTTTAAATCTTTTCCTCTTTACCATTTAAATCAACTTAACCTATTCTTGATGATATTATGCTGTCTTCCCTCGTTTCTTTGCTATCATATGTTCTGAAGAACTCTATATCGTCAACTTTGAAACTTTTGCTTTTCCTTTTTTGATTTCCGCTCGTGTTTTCGACTTGACAATAATTTTTTTGAACACCATTTTTACTTTCTAACAAACACTATTCTCCTTCGATATGTCTGATGGTGTATTGGTGGTTAGGTGTTACACGGTAAATTCTCAGAAAATGTTTGATGTGTTTCCTCATTTACTTTCTCAAGACTTGCTTTCTTCAGAGCGCTTTTGAACGTTCCTAATTGTTCCTTTGTCTGTTCGAACTTGGGTGATAAAGGCTGGAACGTAATATGCTCAATGGGTCATCAATTCTTTACGTGAATGCGTTCGTTATCAAAAGACGATGGTATCTGGTATGTCATAACTTACAAACAATTCATGCAGAAATTCACTGTCACTAAAGATTTCCGGACATTTGGTAAGAATATCAACTTCCACAAGGTAATGTGATCCATTCATTGCATCTGCAAAATCTATATGCATCTTGAAAACAATTATTTTTGATCTTTGGCCAAGGTTCTATTTTGTGATAGGTAGTTTTCCTGCCAGAACACAACTCTGCAAACTTTCACTGTTTTTCAATATCTTGGTCCATTCTGGTTCAATATACGAAACTTCTCATCAGAGATATAATTCTTGAAATACCAGGATTCCTGCTATGAAAATCTTTCACTATTCGCTTTTGTAACAATTTTTAGTAGAACCCTTTGACCAAAAATTACCGTTGTATATCGAGTAAGCGTTTAAGCCTGGAGTTCGTTCTTTGTTACTTAATTCCAAGTGCTTTTTCATTTTCGCAATAAAGTCATCATTTTCCGATTTTTCTTTCACTTCAGGGTAACTGATAACTCTCGTATTGCTTTGCACAAAATGTTTTTTTTTATTCCCATTACACTTTTAGTGCTGCAATGACCTTGTCCTAAAATGGTTCCCGTATTTTAGGTATTAATCTTGAAAAAACTATCCGCATGCTGTAATTTTTAGACGGTGCTACTCCATCATAAAATCCTGGAGTTTAACAAGATGGGTTGTAGTTTATTATTTGTATGCGTAGGTATTCCTTTCTTTAAACCATATATTGTTAATAGAGGGATATGGTCTGTTTGCAACCTAAAGTTTCTTCCATGAATAAATTTATGAAATTACTCACAGCAAATAATAGTTTAGAGCCTCTTTTTGGCTGGATTCATGCACCTCCAACGAGCTTTAAACAGAGAGCTCTTGTCACTAAAGATTTTCGTCAGAATGTGCCCCATGTAGTCAAACGCGATTTCACCTGTTTTTTTTGTTTTTTTCTGGGGAGGGGGTTCTGTAAAATGTAGTTGCATTATTTTTTCATACTCTATCGGATCCTCAACAACAATCTCGTTTTTTTCTCTTTTCTCCCCAGCCGTTGTATTCTTGACTTAATATTTGTTCATATCTACGGAAATACGCAGAAAAAGTCACTCTCTCATCACGATTGTATGCAAATTCTGATATGGTATTTTGGACAGCGTCTGACGTAAGAAACGTTGAAGAAGTTTTTGTTTTCTTCAGAATTATATCCAACAACTCTTGTTTTTTTTGTATTTCTAGCAACTGTTGATTGTGTTGTTGTTGCTGTTTCTGTTGTTGAATTTCAACTACCGAAGCTAACATTTGCTTCATATTCGCAAAAATATGTTTTTTGTTTCCCTACACCCAAGAGAGAAAAAAAAAAACAGTTTTGTTCTACATAACAAGAAACATTTTTAAACCAACGTCGTTAAAATTCTTGTCAGTCTAATCCTTTTTTCTCGTGCTTGTTCACTCAGTATAAATTTCCAAAATCCTTGTAACTCCAGTTACATTTTTTTTATTGGTTCCTGAATCCTCGTTGCTGTTATAAGACTTAAGATTTTCGAATCCTCGTCACCATTTTTATAATGCACTTCGTATCGCTTATAATATAAGTAATGGGTTGGCAAATTGCCATGACGTATCTTACTTTGAAGACGGATATCAAACGGCTTCTTTTTTCCTGACCTCCGACCTGGATTTATTTATTTATAGCTATGTGCTAGTTCATATAGTCACCGGGGGGTGAACTATTTATTCCACAACATTAACCTATAGCTGGCGTGTAAAGGGTTGGTTCATACCTTTCCGAAATGTATTTGCGCGTAAGTGAATATAACAAATCCAATGGGAACTTGAACTCGCCTCTCCGATTAACAATTCCGAGCTATGAACTAATAACCTACCCACACATCCAAGCTTACGTCACCAGGTAATCATAAGCGGCCATCCATGTAGCTACTAATCAGAATTGACGTTTCTTAACTTCGGTGATCGTATGGGAATCGATTTCAATGATTTGGCCGTATGTCCACTAATTTCAACTTGACTTTATAATTGTCTATGAAAAAGAAAAATTCATTAGAAGCAAAATACTGAACTGTTATGCAATATCAGTCCAGCTATATGTCAGTGAATATTGTACAATCACCTAAAAGATGAAGAGAATGACTGAAATCACAGAAATACGGTTCTACAGAAGGATGCTGAAAATGTAATGGGTCGAACATGTGAGAAACGACAGACATAAAAACAATGGCATTTTTCTTTAACTTGTTCCATGCATTCGTTAATGTGACAATTTCAATTCCACTCCTTTTCCCTCCTTCTTTCCTTCTTATTTGTGTTTATTTCTTTATGTCCTTCTCCCTCTTCATCGCTATTCATCTTCTTTTTCTTTCCTCATCACTCTTCTTTTGTTTCATCTTTGTTGTTGTTCTTCTTCTTCATTGTTTCCTTTTCACATTTTTCTTTTTTACTATCACTCTTCTTCTGTTGCTCTTTCGTCATGCACACCTTCCTACTTTTTCTTCTTCTTCCCTATTGCTATACATTTTGTTTTCCTCCTTTCCTTTTATCTTTCCCCCCTTTTCCATTCATCATCTTTCTTATTCTTCATCAATCTTCTTCTTTATCTTTTTCTTTCGATCTTCTTCCTTATTGCTCAACTCCTTTTCAGTCTTCTTACACATCGCACTTTCTTTCTTTCTTTCTTTAAATCGTCGTTTGACTTCTTATCTTTCTTACTTTTTTTCTTCATCATCATCATCATTCTTCTTCTTCTTTTCTTCTTCTTCTTCTTCTTCATCATCATCATCATTCTTCTTCTTCTTTTCTTCTTCTTCTTCTTCTTCTTTTCTTTTCTTCTTCTTCTTCTTCTTATTTTCATAAACCATCGGTCGTCGTCGTCTTTTCTTTTTCTACTTTCTTTCACTCATTGTTCTTTTTCTTCATGGGTCTTTTTCTCTTCGTTTTTTTCTTTCCTCGTTAGGCTTTCATTTTTTTCTTCTTTGCTCATCATTCTTCATTTTTTCTTCCTCTTCTCTATTGCTATTCCACTTCTTATCCTCCTCTACTTTTCTCTTTCTCCTCTTTCTATTCATCGTCGTTCTTTTTCTTCATCGATCTTTTTCTTCAGCAAACTTCTCTGATTTTTCCATCTTTCACTTACCCATCACTTTTCCTCTTTTTCTTCTTCTTCTTCTTCTTCTTCTTCTAAATCACCACCTTTCTAATTCTTATTCTTCTTCATCTTTTCTTTTTCTTCTTCTCCTTCTTCTTTTATCCGCTTCCTTCGTGTTTGTCTTTGTCCATGCCCCAATTCCAATAGTCTTTCTCTATAAGCTTCTCTGTTGTCCATTTAATTTCTCTTTCCCTCTTTTTCCCTGCCATTTTCTCCCTGTTTCTATTGTCATATTAATTCATATACATCTATCCCTATTCACTGTTTTTCTCCTTTTTCTCCCCACCACAATATCCTTCTTCCCAAGAACACCCCTTTCTCTTTCTCTCCTTTATTCGGCATGACTGTTTCTTCCTTCGACACTCTCATTCTTAACTTCTGTCTTTTAACCCTTTTCTCTTTCACACTGACTTTCTTTTACTCTTTGGTTATCGTCCGATATTGGACGCAAATGACCATCAGTTTTATCTGATTGAAAGTAAACATTTTACTTAATGGAATACATAAGACCGGGGATTTTCGATGCAAAAAAAAAAAAGGAAAAAATAGTTGGCTGTATTCTAAAGCTTATGGCTTATATTTAATCCACTGATTGGAGGACACACAAGACGATAAACACTGACCTCTCAGGCCACATATATACAGACACTGAGCAGGAAAAAAGTATTTATGTGGACAGAAATATATATACATTTATAAGAAGATACACATAGCGAGAAACACTGAACTGCACAGATACTCAACGGAAATAAATAGAGTAAGGACGTTGTTGATACTTTTTCGAGCAGTTTGAAAACAGCAGGAAATATTGTTATTTGAATTAATTTAAATGTCCGAAAAGTCATCAATGCTTGTGTAACATGGAAAAGAAGGACAGGACACACCCATAAACTGATTATGGCATAAAGAGATTGGAAAATGTCGTGATAAACAAAGAAAAAACAACTGAACTGCAGTGTAATATAAATTGTCTTATATGGCATTAAATAAAGGACAATCTCTTCTTAGATGTACACATGGCTTTACACAAGGTCGATGGGACTATCTCACCGCAAACAAGACAATAATGCCACTAACATTCACGAGGTTACTGAGAGTGAAAGAAATATTTGCGGGGAGAAAATAATAAAAAGAAAAGGATTCAGGAAGAAAGAAGATGGCAATTGATGTTGTGAAAGGGGAACAAGAAATTGGAATAGAGTTTCGCAGGCAAGACGTGAAAGAAAAGAACTACTGAAAGATATCAGTAAAACTATAAGACATTGTTATGGAGTCCACCCCTTTTTCATACAAGTGGACTCGACCAGTGTGTACTTGTACTGCTGCCGTTAAATACCCAGAGACAGAGTAGTCATAGTAGACAGTGATTGTGATTGAGTTGGAGGTAGAGTAATAGTGTGAGGTAACCGCTTGTAGAAGTCACAGTTACAATCACGTAGACTCAGAAGTCCTACTTCGAAACTGAATTTCCCAGACTGTATATATATTATTATTGCTACTAACCACGTTTCTGGATCTACTAACCGTATTACCAATTGTATTATTGTGTAAATACATTTATTTGCTATATTTCATTCCTGCGTTTGTCATTCATTGGAGAGCGGATTTCATCTCGGAATCCACAACAGACATGGTTTCAAATCTAGCAGGATGCAAAAAAGTGGGGAAGCTTATGCTTAACATAAGGAAGAGGCAGATGAAATTTCTTGGACACGTGATGAGAAAGGAGGGCCTGGAGAATCTGATACTCACAGGTCGAATAGAGGGAAAGAGAGACAAAGGAAATCTACGCATGACATACCAGGCAGGCTTGGACAGGTGGATAGCGGAGAGTGGTCTGGAGGAGTTGGCAGAAACACAAAGCCTGTTGAGAGCCACAAAGGATAGAGGGAAGTGGAAGGCCATGATCGCCTACGCGCTGAAAGGACACGGCAAATAAAAAAGAAAAAAAGAAGTACAATTAATTCCCAGTCTAGTAGTACACTTAATTAGTTACATTTTGGGAAGTGTGTTATTTATCGGCACCCCAATAAGTTTCATGTAAGCACCTGATAGCAATATGATTTTGGCAAAATAGAGCATAACCTCATTGAACACTTAAGTTCTAAGCATAAACAGACAAGAAAAACAATTATTCACAGCAGCAGCAAGGAACATTTTTTTAAAAAATACATGAAAATAAAAACATTGATGTGATTACACATGCCCATGAAGGAGAGGTGACACCGAGAACTTTTTTTATTTAAATTTTTTTGTGGTGTCAAAACATCAAATTATTTCACACGTTTATTAAAAAATTAAGATTGTTTAGCATTATGCTTTTATCAGTAATGACCCGGCGGTAACTAAGTTATTGCGTTTTCGTAGGTGCATGATTGTGCACCATCTGCAACAAAAGGTTGTTTTGTGGATGAAGATGTTCGAAGGACTGGCCAGTAAAATGTCTTGATCTCAATTTAAATGAACTATTGTGTTGGGAAGTGAAGAAACAAGTGTTCCAACATTGCAATCTTTTATAGATTTGGAATTTCTGTCAAGAGAAATGGAAGAAGGTTTTTACGGAGAAAAAAAATCGACTTTGTTCCATTCAATACCACAGATTTTAAGTAAATATTCAATCCAAAGGAAACCACATTAATTGCTATCTCCAGACTTTGGCGTCTTGTAAGTTTTGTATTAATAAATAACACTTTTTGCAATAAAAATCATCCTTGAAAATAAGAAAAGTTGAGTTTTTCGCTAAAAAGATGATCAATTTCTAATGTTAATGAAAATGCAGTAAATGTTTTCTGGGCGTCAAGCATCAGATAATGTACCGAGAAAAACATAATCCTAACAGTTTTCGATTTAGAGGTGAAATTGCAAAAAATGGGATTCAATAGTTGTGTATTCCAGTTTAGACATACATAAATACTACTATATTTATACTATAATAAAGATACTATTTTATTTACGTCGACGTATACAACCCAGTGGTGTTGCTCTCTCAGACACGAATGAAACATTGTATGAAGCTTTAGACTCGACTCCCCGAAAAAACTTTCTCTATCTGTCATTCCCACACTAGTTCAGCCAATCAAAAGCGACTTCCTTTATTTTGTCTTGTAGCTGACCCCGAAGGTCAAACTGAGGAAGTCAGAGCAGAAATACACTTCTCTAAATATAATCGCCTGCTAAACTATTATTTAACACTCACACGCACAAACATACATACATACACACACACACGCAGACACACACGTATATATATATATATATATATATATATATATATATATATATATATATATATAAAAATTTTATGTAAAAATGACAAAAAGTTTACTTGTAATGAGTTTACAATTCTCCATATACTATTCTTGACTTATAAAAATATATATCATTATCTCAGATTGATAGATAAAGAGATAGATAGATAGATAGATAGATAGATAGATAGATAGATGTACGTATATGTCTGAGTGTTTAGTTTTTATTGTATTTTTCCACTTTTCGAATTAGGTGATACGTATTATGCTCGACGTTGTGGATCAGCTGTTCGAACATTTTGTTATTCTCGAGTATTTGCAGTCATTATGGATGTTGTGTCTGTGTCGTAGTTAGAATGCCTCTGTATACATCCTGGGGAGTGTGAAATCGTCTATAGTGACTTCTTCTTTAACAGTTACTGTGAACGAAGCAACACGAAAAAATACGATTTATGTATGTATATTTTTTAATTTTATTTTATTGTATTTTATTATATGTTATATACACTATTATTTCATATATTTATTTACTTGCATTTTTCTCTTATTAATATAATGTATGCGCACATTAATTATATCATATACACTTAGCATCTATTTTTCATGATATTTGATGTGGGCAGTTTATTTTTGTCGCGTCTAGATTCTTTAGTTTTTCCTTGTATTGGGTGTTGTAAATTATCAGTACCTGTAACAACGGCTGTCCATTCTTGGCTACACTTAAATGTGTCATTGAAGGAGCTAAAACTTTCGTGATTACTGGCGGTTCTGTAATAGTGTAACGTTTTCTATTTTTTTTTCTCTCTTCAGTTAATTTGAGATGTTAACATCTGTTCAGAAAGCATAATGTTTCGCCCGTAAATTCTCTTTAAACTCTCCACTTGGATCATCTGGAAAACCCTTGCTTGACTTTCTACTTAGAACTGAATAGTGATATGCATATAACCCCTTCCTATCATCTCTAACCTGAATCCCTACAAAGCATGTCGACTTGATGGTATCTCTGTAATTGTCTTTAAATGTGCTCCCGAACTGGCTCCTGTTTTCTGTAATCTCTATACTAAAGGTTTCGCTGCGTCTTGCTTTCTAGCTTGTTGGAAATCACTATCTGTTGTCTTAAAGAACTCAGATGGATACTCGATCTTTCCAACTATCAGCCTATTAAACTTCAACCTTTTTTTTGGAAACTATTAGAGGACCTAATCAACGCTGAATTAGATAAGCATCTCTTTCAGGCAAGCAATATGCTTTTCGTTTCTGTTAGTTAACTATTGATGTATTAACGATTATGGTGGAAAGGATCTCTCATGCTTTCGATAAGAACGGGGAAGCTCGGACTGTTGCATTGACTATCTCGAAAGCCTTTGAAAGCGTCTGGCATTTCGGTCTTCTTCACAAGTTGAAAGGTTATGATATTTATGGACGGATATTTTAACAGATTCAGTCTTTCTTATCAAATCGTAAAATGAGTGCTATCTTGAATGCCCGCCTTTCTAGATTCTTTTCATAGTAATGTAGGTATGCATTCTATCCTTGTACCTACGTTGTTTTAAATTTTCATTAACGACCATCCTGATGGCATCACCTCTCAACTTGATATCTACACTGATGACACAACTAATTATTCTTGCCTCGACAGTGAATCTAATCATATCGATATGATTAGATTGGAAGCTGACCTCAAAAAAAAAATCTACAGTCTTTTATTAACTGGGGAAAATGGTTTGTTCATTTTAAAGGCTTTAAAACAAAACTGTTCTCTATTAATAATCTGGGAGACTCATTTCCGCCTTCCATCAGCATGGCTGATGCTAGCCACCAAGTGAGTGACTCTTTCTGACATCTTGGGCTAATAATTCCAGGAAGTGGAAATACTACATTTAATCCACTTCTATGTCAGCTACTAAGAATGTTGGTATACTGTGTTGTGCTAAACAATGTTCAGAATCTTTCATATTTATAAGTCTACTTTTCGTCCATTCTTCGAATATTGCTGCCAAATATGATCTGGTGCTCCTACATTGTATTTAGAGATTCTTGATAAAATCCAAAGAAGAATCAGCAATATTATTCGTCCTGACCTGTTGTCTTGGCTT